GATTATTAAATTATGGAATATTAAATATATAATATTAATAAATATGATTTTAATATACTTGTACATATAATGTATATTATGTATCCTATCTATAAGCACATTGAAATTAGTAATCCTCTCCCTCTACCTTGTAGTTATTTAATTCATAGATCATTTGTACCTATTATCTTGATTTGTTCTAAAGTTCTTTAAAACATCTTTCTTCTCCTGACCGCACAGTTGTCCATTCCTAGCTTTGTTCATCAGACTCATGAGCCTGATCAAGACATTTTAACCATATCTACCTACCAATTTCAGTCTGGGGAATGACAAGAGCCAAGCTAAAGGTTTCATATTATTACTGGCTGAAGTCGTCCTCATTTAGACAAGGGCCATTCTATAGACTACTGTATAATGCTTCCCTTAAAGATTCTTTTGCATATGGATGGTCTTACTAACAATATTGATTGTGAAGATGAATACAATTCTTTATTTTCATAAACATTCAATAGTCTTTCCTTCAGAATTTGTGAGAATTTTGATAGTCCTAAAGTTTATTTCTAATTTCTTTGAGAATTTCTTTCATAAAATTAAGATTATACAAAAATACAATCCTTTAATAGTAAATAAGATCCTTTAAAATTATGAAGTAGTTTATGTATGCCTAGTTATCAACAATGTATCTGCTAATCACCAATACTTCTTATGTAATAAAATGTTAAACCTTAGGAATGCATGTTACTTTATGTAATACTTCTTATGTAATAAGAAGTATTCTTATGTAATAAAATACTTCTTATGTATTACTTCTTATGTAATACTTCTTATGTAATAAATACTTCTTATGTAATAAAATGTTAAACCTTAGGAATGCATGTTACTTTAACTTAATAATAAACTGTTTTAAGCTACCATTACTTCAAGTTTATCCATATAAAGAATAAAGCTGTATTATTTTAAAACCTTTTTGAACTAAAAGTTTAAAGTGCTTTACTTGAATATTATCACAGTTAATGGAGACTGCTTTAACTTCAAGAAATTCAGTACAAAAGCATCCTATGATTGTTTGCCTTGGGATAAAATCATCCAAAAAAAAAGTGGCACTCAGACTGTTTATGGAAGTCAAAGATCTTTGACAACATTTTTAAGCATATTTCCTCTTTGTTATAACTTTCCTAAACAAATTTTAGTGATTCAAAATACCATTCAGTCACTTCTTTAGAAAAAGAGCATTTAATAATACATAGAACAAGTGAGAAAAATGTTCCAGTCTGTGAAAGGTGGGCAATCAGGAGAATTCTCCAGCAAATGCCTTCTTCAGCATGCTAGAGTTCAAGCAGTCTGTGTGCCTTAATTTTATAGGCTAGAATCCCTCAGTCAGTTATGAATGATCCACATCTAATGAAATGCAGAACACATCCAGGTAAATCATTGTGAATTCAAAAGTGCACTGCACCCAAAATGACTGAAATTACTCCCCAGTCGTTTCCTCAGAGGGCGACTATCTGTCTCGTGGACGTGACCTGACTTCTACAAGTTTATATACTATCTTAGGCATCCTCTTGTCCTGGAGAGTGTACACACAAAGTGCTGGGCATGTCAGTTTTTGCAGAGCTGCAGAGGGGCCTCAGACAGTCTAGGATTTTTATACTTAGCTAAATTCCACCCTGAAGCTTCCAGTATTCCCATAACAGGATTCTGGGAGTGAAGATGGTCTGGGATCACAGATCACAGGTAGGGACCAGACAGTAGTAAATTTAATTATATCTCCCAGCTTCTTTCTTCTAGGTAGATATAACTTGAGACTCACTTCCTAAATTCTACTAAGTCACTTCTTAAATTTTTCAGGCTTTCTATATAAAAGGAAACTTCAATCATTACAAAAGTTGGCCTTCACAAGTCAACTTCACTGAACACACCAATTTTTCTCTGTTTATTAACTTTACTTCTTGAGTTTAACATTAGTGCCTAATTAGCCTAAGTCAATGTTTCCAAAAATTTTATTTAAAAAGAATAAAAAACAAGAAGTTGGCATCTAGTTCTCTGTTAAAGAATATTTTCATTTCAACTTACTTGAAATCGGTAAAAAGTCCCATCATCCTTGAGCGTGAGAACGTGATCCGAGATCGGAAAGAAGTAGCCATGGGCAGCCATTAATGTTCCCAAATGTAGTGCCTCCACTGTTTCAGGAAAGAAAAGGGGGGAAAGGAACATATAATAGCTTTAAAAATTTATTTTAAAAAGTTTTATTGTTGATTTACAATAGTGTGATATTTTGCCTGGTTCTTTTTGAGCACACTCTTGCATCCAAATTCTTGACATACCTGGCTTTAGATCCTTTCAGTTCTTTCACAAAAGGTACTAAGATGGATTTGGTCATTCCCAGTGACTGTACAGTGACCCACCTCATCCCAAGATCCCAGCCCATGAGAAGACAAAGTTAAGGAACAGATGAAGAGGACTCCACTCAATCTTCAGAATCTGGCTCCCTGATTTATAGAAGAGATGTGTGTTTGCTCTGTTATTATTCTCCCACAAACAATTCCAATGGAACTATGTAGCACTTAAAACATTTAAGTCTTTCACTTGCATCACTCCTTTTCCTGTAATCCTGACTATCAGCAATTTTTCTAATGATAATGGATCATTGTTAGATGATGTTAGCAGGGAATGTTAAGGCCGGACCATCTGTGCTGCACTGTGCGCCTATCACCCTGTGATTGCCCAGGACAGCTTCTGCTATTCCAGACAGGACCTAGAAAAGGACTAGCAAAAAGTTTATTTAACAGCTATATTCAGAGTACAATACTGAAATATTCATACTTTACATAGTAGGCAATAATTCCTTTCAACAAAAGTGCTAATAAATTTTGGTCAGTACAGTTATTACCACATTTGAGCAGAGCCAACATAATGTTTACTAACTTGAAGTCTAGAAATATGGAACTATGCCAAATAGTTTTCTAGTCCAAGATAAAATGTGTATACAGAAAATACCACAAATGATAGATTTATTTATCTGTTTAAGTAACTTTATATACAGTTCATTTATAGATGCATTTGTTTCTTACACAAAAAGTTCAAATGATTCTTTTAACTCTAGGAATCTTACAGAAATTCCAAGACTATATGGATCTATGTCTATCTCCGGCCATCAAGCATGAGAAGCTTTTACACCTCAGCAAGAATTGCTCACTACGTTGCTTGTTATTGTGTGCCTGAGCATATGAATTCTCCGTTGCCTCCCCTCCTAGCACCTATGTTGGCTAATAATTACTTGTTCAGTTTTTCATCTGTTGTGGGGTGCCACGGTGCTCCTTGATATTGGTAATTTCCAAATATTTTAACTGATCATTTCTTGTACTTCCAATCTATCACCACCTTGTTTTTGCTGATAATAAAGAATAACTGCCAATCAACTTCTTTCCCATGTCTCTGGAAGACTTATTAAACATGTTTGTCATTTTCACCACACTCCCAGTCAAGTCCATGTACACTATAAATACAGGTTCCTTCAATTCAAAGTCAAGCCCTTCTAAAAGCACATTCTGCTTTTGACAGAATAGCCGTGTGTCTTTATAAAAGCTCAAGCTGGTGCGGTGCTGTGGGAGGAACAGTTTGAAAACACCCACCATCTTTTGTTATCAAATTCTCTGTGCCTATCCACCTGCTACTAAAGGTAATAAACATGCCTGCAGGCCTTGTGTGAGAATTACATAAGTGAATTACATGCAATGGAGTTGCAGTGCTGCTTTGTGTGTAGTAGCTATACAATACATAGTTGTTATTGTGCTTCATTATCTCATTGCTGAATGAGTTTTACTCTTCTCCAGAGTACTTCAGGTAAGTCACTTTCATAAATTTGCCTTTAACTAAGCTTACTGAGGGAAGCCAACAGTTCTAAATAGCATCATCATTTCCCTATCCCCTTCATTATTTTTGCAATGAGTGTAAAATTAAAAGTGCAAGAGGATCGATGAGGATAGCTGGGGTGTAACAATGGGCAGGTGCTACAGCTTTGGACAAGTTCTGAGCCCCTGGAAAACCCTATCAAGGAGCATTGGAAAGAACATCACATGATGTCCATTGCAGGTTCTCCAATCAAGTGGTTCACTTATCTTCTTATAGTCATGTACATTCATTTTAGTCCCAGATTCTGTGGCCTGGGAAAATGGTATTAGCATACTTACCAGCAGGATAGAAAGACATGTCACATGAGGAAAGTTGTAGATTATAGGTAAACAAAAGGAAACTGAGTTGCCCAGAAAGCTAATAAAGAGCATCTGAACTCTAAGCATAGGAAAGAATGAAACTAAAATAAAACAAACTAAAAAATCAAAAATTTGGATGCTAAAGTTCTAATGAGGATCAGAAAAATGTAGTGAAACTGTGAGGCTAGAAAAATATTAGAAGCTAATGGGCATCAGAATATTTTTGATTGCCTGTATCTCCTTAGATACTAACTCTATTATAACTCACATACTTGCAGGGGACAAGGAGATTGCTTGCAGGTTCTTTCTCATGTGTCACAATCAGGCATTAAAAAATCCTTGTTGTTGAGAAAAAGAGTGAATTGGCTAGTAATCTCTACTTCCGTTTTTGAGGTAAATGCTCTGTGTTTTGTTTGAATTGATTACATATATTCTTTGACACTCCCTTCAATAGATACATAAATTTTAAGACTTTAACATAAAGAAAAATTTGTTTTGATACTTTTGGATCTTGTCTTTAATTTAAAAGAGTTATATTGGCAGGGATATATTTTTATAAGATTAAAATTTAGTTTCTAAGTAACACATACTTCATATGTCAAGTAAAATCAAACCATTTGATTTAATATTTAAGAAGACTGACCTTCTAACAAGGCTTATGAAATGATTTCAAGGTCTTTGGTGAGAGAATAACCTAGAGAGATTGAGATTATAGACGTTATAGTTTCCATTACAAGACCTCCAGGAAACAGCTCCAGGGCAAAATAAATAAGAAAAATTAGGAAGTTGAAGGATTTTTATGCTTTAGTTAAGCCTATACTCTCGACACTTCACTTGTCAATAGAAAAAGTAGCTACTGAGTCAATATTGATTAATGAAAGAACAAGTACATTCATGAGTAGGTGGCCCATAAAGAATATGAAAAACACAGCACTGCATGGAAAAATGCCAAACCAATTATTCTGTGGTGTAATTATGAGCAACTTGTTCAGCTCATCCAAAACAATGGTAATGCTCATATTGGTTTTTTTTACATTTTTGTACATTTTTAAAGTGAGGATATTATAGATATTTTGTAGTGGAAAAGATAATAATGATACTAATGGCATAAATATCAGAAAAGGATCTTAGAGTAGCTTGAGGTCGTGTTTTCAAGGTTGACTTGTTTATTGTTAGTGGTAAGCATGGAGCCACACTTTGGGATCCCATTGCTCCTACATTTCAGCCCTCCCTTAATTTAATAAGAATTTGAAAGACCAGTGATAGCTTAAGAACAAAGTACAGAAAGAATTTAATGACTAATCCACCAAGATCGACCTCCAAAAATGCCACACCAGATGGCTTGGCAACATTAATGCTGCTCACCAATATAATCACTAATTAATCTGTTAGTCACTTCACTCACACAGCTAAAGTTCAACAACAAGCTTAGTAAAAAAATTCTAGTTCATTTTTTATTTGGATGTTCAAGACATAAGCAAGCTCAGAAATAAAAATCCATCTCCAAATAACTGTTACTAGGTGAATAGTCTAGTGCAGCTTTGCTAAGACTGATGCATTCACAGCACTACTACTCAAACCCTGAAGCAATAGAATTATCAACATCCTTTAAAAGCAAAAAGAATTCTTCATAGCATAATTTGCTTTTGAACACAATTACCTCAAAATGTTAGCAGGATGAAAGCATGTTATAAAGGAGGATTGAGTTCTTCAGTGTGAAGTGCCCTATATTTATGATATAATTTCAAAACCAAGTAACATTCTTCTGTCCAGAGACACAATACCTAGCAGCTTCAGTGCCTCCCAAATATTGTCCATAATATTGAAATGATAGAAAAATATTTTTGAGTCAAAAAATAATAATCAAAATAATTCTCACTAAATCCTATCATATGTTGTTTACTTTTATGTGCATAGATTAAGAAATCAATTATTTTATATCCAACACACAATATAAGTATAATTATTGTGTGGGGAGAAGTACTTTAGAATGAAATCTATAGAAAGAAAAATGACAGTGGATGATATATCAAGGAAATTGAAATGCTAAAAAGTAGACAAAGGTAAGTTGCTTAACAGTAAAATAGCAAGCATTCATCAAGATGATTCTGAGTCATAAAGGAAAGATTTTGTTGGATTTATTACACAAGAAGACAAAGAAGTGGTCATTTCAAAAATCCATCACAATATTATATATATATTTTTAGAAATGGCACTTGAAAAGGCAAAATCAGTCATGTGGAAAAATCACATATGAAGAACATTTTATTCTCCAACAAAGCCAAATGAAAATAGACCATTACTATTTTTAGGAATTTCTTAAGTAAGTATATTTTCTCAATAGTTAGGAGTTAGTTAAAGAAGTATCTGGGCTCATCTCTTTTAAACATATTTCCACAAAGGAAAATCAAAGGCCATTTGGTTTTTAGCAATCATCCATCAGGTTACTGAAGTGAACAGTGAATGATAAGAAGGTGACAGAAAACAGAGGAGATAAAATAGATTTTATTTGAGGGAGCATTAGGTAATTAACAGAAGTAAATACTTTTTTCCAAACAACACAGCAAAGTATAGAACTTGTGCCCAGGTATTTCACTTGCTAGCTGTGTGAATTAGGCAAGAGACTTCATTCCCTGGCCTTGATAGCCTTCTCTCTGAGATAAAATTAATGAAGTACTGGTTTCAAGGTTAATTGTGAGGATCAATGGAGATAATATTTATAATGCATGTAAAACACTGATTGCAACATTAAAGCTCTCCAAAGACATGAAGTATGATGAACTGGTATGAAGCAACATATCCAATAGCACTTAAACTAGTTCAGAAGCTCACAGGGAACCTAGTAGCTAGTGTTAGTCTAGGCTTCCCAGTAATACTAAACATTTCTAATTCAATTCTATTTAATAGTGATACATGCATAGCTATGCTTATAGCAGCAATATTCACAGTGGCTAAGTTGTGGAAACAAC